GATTTCCATTGAGATTTTGTGGATTTTGAAGGTCTTTGGATGCAGATGTCCATTGACATTTGTGTTGTTGGTGTTTGTTTTGCTGCTGCTTGCTGGTGTTTTGCTGGTGTTTGTTTTCACCCCCTGTCTCCTGAAAGGATGTCCCACTTCTCTGGAAGATCTGGACCTGGAACAAGGCTCTTTTCATGTGCTTCTTTGCTCCAATAGTACTTCAAAGCTTTGCCTGGGTGGCACTGTAAACACCCACTGTTCCACCTGCACTTGGAACAAAGGTTTCCCTTTGAAATGGTTCCTTCAATCTTGTACCTTGAATCCTCACTCAAATGCTGCAGCTTGAAGTACTTGCTATTGGCTTCAAGCATCTCTTGAGCTTTAATGGCTGCAGCACTGGTATGACTCTTCAATTTGGAGAGTTGCTCCAATGCCTTGGTCTTGGCTTTCTCTTGCTGGTCTGCAATCTTTTTGGACTTCTCTTCAACTGTTTCCTTGATTTCTTGAAGTTTTTTCTGCTCTGCTGAAAGCTGATGCCACCAAGCTGAAAATTTGGCCTTCAATGAGCCAATCTCTGGGTGCCCTCTGGAAGCCAAGCCTTCAAACAAGCTGCAAACCTCTGACAGCATGTAAGCAAGAGTCCAAAGCCCACATGTGCTTCCAACTTGCTGGAAGGAGTTGCAAACTTTCAAAGAAACCTCTTCCTTCTGCAGGAGGCTGGCTATAATGGAAGCCTTCTTCCTGCAATCTTCTGGAAGGGCTGCAAGGGTATCCCTGTACCTGAAAGTCCACTTCTGATTCTGTTCAAGCCTCTCAGCTGTAAGTAGAGTCCAATGGAACACTGTCTCATTGCTCCAAATTGGACAAAGAAGCAAACGCGAATCTGATTCCCCAAAGCTTTCAATCCTTTTCTTCAAGAAATCTCTTTGTGGAACATCCTCCTCTCTCAAATACATGGTGGTCAGAAAGGGATCTATGAAGGCCACCTCTTTCATGTAGTCCTGGAACTGCCAACTCAAAAGCTCAAAGCCAAGTAGCATATGCTGAGACTCAAAGTTTTCATCTTTGTCTGGAAGGTCTATCAAATCATCTCCATTGTCTGCAAAAGGTTCTGGCTTCAAGCCCATCATGAAAAGGGATTCACCTTTCTTCTTTCTAGAAAGCTTTGTGAAAGGTATCCACTCCTTGACTGGAAGCCAGTCTGGATCCTTTTTGATAATGCTTGAAACTTTGCAACTCAACTTTTGGTGCTTGTCTGCAATGACTTCGCACTGCAAATCCCCATCCATCCCCAAGGAAGCCTCACTAACCATCCCTTCTTTCCCATACTTCCCTTTCCCTTCAATTTCTTCAACAATTCTACAAAGAACCATCTCCCCTTCAGCTTCAACCATTGCTGTCTTCTTTTCCTTGTCCTTTGCATCCTTCAATGCTGCTGGAAGGAGTTTGTCTGCCTCTTTCAACACATCAGCTTTCTTGAGGCTTTTCTTCAAGTGTTTCTTCGCGACTTTCTTCAAGAAGCATGGTTTGGTTTTGGCAGATGGCTTGAAGATTGCTGAAACTTTCTTCTTACTTGCAGTGCTCTTGGCAACCACCTGTTCAATTGCCTCCTTTTTGCTCATTCCTTTAAGCTTCTCCCTGACCTTCTTCAACAAACCAGATCTCAAACTAGACCTTGCTTGAAGTCTTGAAGCTTTTTCTTTGGACTTCTCAAGTACATCTTGAAACTTTGCATTCTTTTGAGCTAGAAAGGCTGCCTTCCTGACCTTTGGATGAAGTGTCAAAAACAAGGAATTCTTCAAACCAAGCCCCAAAGACTCTTCAATCGCACCATCCATGTCCACAGGATTGTCTGCCTCATCTTCAAGGGCAGGGTTTGTGTAAGCAGCCCAATCTAAAACCTGCTGAATTGTGGTGGCTGCCTGGCTCAAACTGAACTCTGGCTCCACTGGAATGCCTTCCTTCAACCAGCTCTTCCTAGGAAACATCCACTCACTTGGAATTCTGTGGCTCCCAAGGTCCAGCTCTTCAAGACCACAATCCTTTGCTTCAAGTGGCTTCAAAGTCCCACTCTTCAAATCAGGTCTATAAATGACAAGTCCATTCCTGAAGGCTCCTCTAATCACCCATGAGGTATCCAAGTTTCT